CAATGTGCCCTGCAGGACACAGGTGGCATATTGGCTTTTGGTTATTTCAGTTTAAAACAGGCACCATTCCTTCAGCCTTTACTGCTTGTTTAATCATCTCCTCTCCTTTCCTTCTTTTTTTTCCTTTTTGTCATGAGCCACAACTTGCTTGAATTTAGGAATGCTGCTTAGCGTGGAGGAACAGGGATGATTTGGAAAGCAAATGCAGCAGCTTAGTGGCTTCCTGTTGCTTTAGACTGGTTTCTCATGAGTTCTTCAAAGTTGATTGCTGAATCTTTTTGTTTACTGGGACTCTGGAAAGGACTAATTTTATGGACTTTTGTATTTGAAACAGCTCTATTTTCTTTTAGCTACCATTTTAAAAATTTCTAGGGTTGTCTTACTGTTCTAGGTCAGCTTGTGACAATGAATTGACACATTTATGAAATCACATTGGTTCTAATTTTAGTTTTCCCTTGCATTTTAGGAATTTAAGGCTTTTTCTTTTTTTTTTTTGTTTTTTGTTTTGTTCAAGATGTTTGAATTGTGTCCTGGACATACCAAGCTGTCCTTTATACCTTGTGGTATCTAATGTCATTCTATTCAGGGATTTGTAAAGAACTGCCACATAAAAAGAGACTGAAAATGCATTTTTGCTTGGTTTTTTTTTTCTTAGGTATTCAGGTGGTTGTTTGTAATTTCGTTACTCATTCATAATTTGCCATCACTTTTGTGTCATTACTGCAGAACAGTCATGAAATATCTCGCAGATTTCAGAGGATGTTGCAACACTCTTTTGCTTTTTTCTTTTTCTTTGAAGGACATATGATGGAGAAAGATAATGCAGCAGTTTTTAACATGCATAAAAAAAACATTCTTCAAAGTTAGAATGGCAGTATGGGAAGAAAAGTGATTTTCAAATAATTAGTCAACAGACATCAGCTAGAATTTATAGACTGAGAATTAACCCCTTAAAGTTATTTTAATTGACTGAGCCCATGGAAAATTTCTTTTGAAGTTTGATTCAAGTATTGGTAAAGTCCCATAATAAACATAAGTACAATAAGGAAATAAAAATTTTCTATTTTCCTGCCTTATCAGGAACTGACTTACTATAGTTAATTTAATGTCTGCTGAGCTGTTTTGGGAAACATGTGTCTACGTGTATGCATTTTCCTCACAGTGAGAATTTATGACAATTGAAGAGAAAAAGCATTCTTGGCACTTCCCCAGAGAATGTTAGTCTTGATATACAGCTGTATTTCTATTTCTGTCTCAGCTGGAAAATTAGATACTTTCTGATGCAAATGCTATGCTATGGCATTTTTGTGTCAAGCAGTGAGACCTTGTACAGTAAAGAACTTTTTAAAAAGTTATTAATATGCCCAGTTAAAATTTGCGTGCAGTATATTTATGCAGAAATATTTAATATTTTTCAGTGCTTTGGTTCATGCAAACAAACAACCCACTACTGAAAATTTGAAGTTGTGAATACTGCTTAAAGATGAAAAAACATTTAATCTTTGGTATTGTATAAAGAAAAAGCAGACAAAAATCTGTGGTTCTAAAAGACTTTCTTAGTCTACTGTTCACTCTTGGAGTATAGCAGTCTTAAACCCAAAGGGTATATAAAACATGTTAAAATATATTCAACTTAAAAAACAGCAATTAAGTTAACAACTACCATGTGTTGGCTTTTTAGTTGAAGAAACTGAAAATCAGGAAAAAAACCCATCATGAAAGTTACTTTTGTAGATGTAGATGTATATGTAAGCTGTCTATCTAACTGTTGCTTAAAGAAACAGCAGACTTGTCCTGCTTGTTAAAACCAGAATTTCTTAATGTTATTTAAAAATAAATAAATAAATTCCAGTTAAGAAACTAGTAAAATAGTCTCTTCCTTAAAAAATTCATTGCTGAAAGAAGGCTATTTCCAATTCATGAGATATCACACTTGAGTTAGTGTTAAGAATTTGACTTCTCAGAATTATGCCTTTTATTTTGTTTTCTAGTTTAAAAGCTACCTGAATATGTTACAGTGTCTAGGCCTCGGGCACACTCATTGCGGCAGTGAAGGCATTTTCTCTTGGCTTTGTTGACTTGTTGTGAGATTCCCCTCGGGATGCTCCTTTTATATTTTCTTCTGACTTGCTTATTTTGTTTTCACAACCAATTTCACAAGGGTGACATTTTCTAGAATAGTCAATTTCCGAGGCATTCACCCGGAACAAGGGACAAGAGATGTTAAATATCTGTTTTGAATCACTCCTATGAATAACCTGAGGCAGATTTTCCAACCGCCCAGACTGCCAGAGCCGTGAGGCACCAGCTCCAATAAACCCATCTTTACTTCTTTGCATTTTCTCTGGTTGAGTTTTTGGTTTTGAAAGTGTGGAGAAGACCAGAAATACTTTTCCTTCTGCACAAAAGGGAGCGTAAACAGCAGAGAAATTTGGAAGACTCTGGCGAGAGGCAATGTAAGATCTGATTTGTTGCTTATATTGCTGTAAGGAGGCACTGGCTGCTGTTGGGATCATCCCTTTAGCAGTAAGTTCTTTCTGGTATTTCCAAAGGCAGCAGCAGACTTTACTTTCTAGGGATTTATCACAAGTCATGTAGGCAGCAGCCAGTTTAGCTCATGCCTTTAAGTTAGACATGAATCTCTGAGAATAAATGCACATGAGAATGTCTTCCACAGTGATATGTTTAAGATGCAGTTCCTGCTATACTATTAGAATAATGGTTCCCCTTGTTGACTTGACAACTTAAATTAGTGATGTATGCATAGACCAAAAGAAGATTTGCATTTACTGAACAGTTTCTTATTGATATTATTGTATTTACTGAGGCTTGCTTTGATAGAATCAATCTTTGTAGCTACTCCATGGTTCCCCTACACAAATATCTATAAATAAATACATGCACACAGATACATATGCAAATATATGTATATATTTGCGTTTATTCACAGCGATCAGCAATATTATCTTTTGATGTATGGTCAAAAAGGATGTGTTTGGATATGCTTTCACAGTCAGAACCTATTTACTGGATTTGTCATTGCATAATAAGATCCTGTGGTTCTTTGGACAATATTTATTAGGCTCACACAGAGCAAGGAGCTGACTCTTGCTAGTACCCTGGAGGCTGAAGATATCAGCTTCAGGATTTCCTGCGGCATCAGTTAGTGCAGTGACTGAGAAATGAGATTTTGATTTCAGAAAGCTTGACTGAAATCTGCAGTAAAATGTGGCGTAACACATTGTGGTATCTACTCACTGTGCCCCTGGAAAATTAACCTTTATTGCTAGCTTCTAAATTTCTAAAGATCTATATAATCTATAACTGCCAGTGGTCATGCTACTTTGTTAAATTTTAAACTTATATAAAAATGTTAGCATTGCACATAATTTGCCTCCTAGCAATCCCATATTTCATATTTAATTTCTTAATTCTTTAAGTTGCCAACATTTTCTGAAGTAGCATGTGAATGTAGTCAAGTGTCAGTCTTACACTGTGATGCTAGAATCCTGAAGCTTGTCAAAGAAAATGAATGAACAAACACTTGTGTATTGCTCTGTGAGTACAAATATTGTTGTGAAAAATAAGATATCACAAACTGTTATCAAACAGTATTATCTCACTTCCTCACTTTATTAAATACTTTGTAATGAATGTAGTAGATTTGTTGCTTAGATCTGAAATGTCATGAAATGTAAAGCTTTAATACAGATTACCTATGAAGCCATCATTTTTTTAGCAATTCTTCCCATTATATCCTTTTTTGTACCCCTGTTCATTCTTATTTCTAACCTGTTCTCTTCTAAGATGAAGTTATTTTAAGATACTGCTTTCAAAAAATGTCTTGGGTACTCAGTAACCTGATTATCAATGAAAGTGCAAAAGATTCAGGGTCTCTTTAGAAATCAAAACTTGTACTATGCGGTACCTTCTGAGAATTTTTTGAGTTGCTGTCCAGTGCTGTGATTAAAAGAGGTGAATATCAAAACCACAGTGGTTTAGTCTGGGTCTTAGTTACAATACTAAAGAACCATTGATCCCAGCCCTTTCTCATCCCCTTTAGACTAGAATATTTTTGTGTAAGCTACTCTGATGAATATAGATAGCATAGATAGGCTGCTGTCTAGCTTGAATAGGCAGATTTGTCCTCCTTTCCTCTAACAACACACTGAAATATGAGGTATTAGACCTATCAGTCTATCCTGAAGAAAGTTGATAATTGCCATGAGTAGCTGACACTCTTACTTACATGAGGAATTAAAAAAATGTTCAGTCCCTGCTTTCACCAGCAGCTCATACCACTTAATACCCAAAGTAAATAGAAATCCTAATCTTTTATTCACATGTTGGAGGTGAAGGCTAAAACTCATTGCTCTTAACGCTGCTTATCTCCATTCTAATTAACATTCACTTCTGATTTAGTGCAGTGAATAGTTTGAATTTGCATGGGAACTTGCTCACCTAAAAGGTGATTATTAGTGTTATTAGTGTCTGCTGGTTACTTTGATGTGCTCTTATTTTCCCCCTTTCTCTGTTCCTAAGAAGATGGTCAGATTTTTGTTTTTATATCAAACGCTCATTTTATTGTGAATCTTCTGCTCAATTTGTTGTATTAATAAATGAGAGCAAAGCTGATGAGGAAGGGTATTATTTTCTTTTTCGTGTTGGTGGGTGGAAAAGGTTATATGATTAAAAGAAATAAATAGATATTTTAGGAGATCTGTTATAAAGTTTTAGCAGGAATCCAATGAATTTTCCATGTGTAGACAAAGTTGTATCTTAAACTCCAGGGTTAAATGTAGTGTGTGCATGTGTTTGTTTTATGGTTATTTTAGTTTCATACTTTTAAAAAGAAAGAATAAAACATTTTTAGTGCTTTAAATTGCTCACAAAAACTGTATTTAGCTTTTCCATAATGTCAGTATGATGTTTCTTTACTTCAAGATTGTTTCAGCACCGATGTACAACCAGTGTTTCTTTCTGTTTCCTTGGTACTCCAGGAAGCAGCCACGGAAAGACAGAAGATGAAAGCTCCTATTCCCAACTTGATTCTCTTGTATGCTACTCTGACTCAGAGCTTGAAGGTTGTAACCAAAAGGGGATCAGGTAAGTAAATCTTTATCTCTGTGGTGACAATGTGGCTTGGAAAGAAATGCTTAATGTTTGCTAGTATATGCCAGGATGTTGTTATGGTGGTTTGGAATACAGTTTCAAATTCTGCAGCAAGAAGAGTTGGCAGCTTCTATATATTTTTAAACTATGGTTTTATGTGGACTTAATGAAGAAAAATCAGATATGCAGTGTGAAATGAATATCACCTTTCACCTGCTGCAGGACAGTTATTCCCAGAACTTTTTGACTTATTTAAAAGACTATGTTACAGTCAGTATTGTTGGGTTACTGGATTTATCTGTTTTACTGTATACTTTGGGAAACTAAGATAATAGAGTTTGGGTTTAAGCAACAATAAATAGATCAAACACATTTAAATTTAATTACCATGAAAAGTGAACAGCAAAATGTGTTTCTGAAAGGGATACCTAATGTGGTTGAAGAGTTTAATTCATGAAAGAAAAATAGTCGGTATTCAGACTATTCAGTTGGGTAATTTTGGATTAATTTTTCTCTTTCACCCAGAAATTCTAATATTACTCTTTTTGGCTTTTCACTGGATAATGAAAAAAAAATCCAGGAAACTACTTCTGCAACCTATCTTGCTATATTGCACTAAAGAAAACGAAATCCTTAATGAAAGCCTTAATTCCATGTTGGTGGATTAATGAAAGTCTTAATCCCATGTTGGTTGGGTTAGTTAATTAGGTTTGTTTTTAGCTGTGAGTTTCCTTTTGGCACTGGAGTGCTTTAGGTAGCTTTTGTTGTGCTGTTCCAGAAGTCTGTCTGTGATTTATTTTTGTCTTTTGGTTGGTAGTAGTTGTGAACTGGTGCTTGGGGAGATCATAGCTCTTTATACATTTTTGGCAACATCTTGAATTATACCTTGCATTTTTTATGGATTATATTTGTAACAACAGAATGAAATGGATTATGTCTCCAATATTATAGTAGCTGGAAATGTTGATGTAGGGAAGGCAAACATGGAGTACTACTACAAAGTAAGGTATTCCTTAATGAAAACTAGAGGTTAAAGTATATTTGGGGTTATTTAGACTCAGGAACACTGAAATGCACAGACAGTGTGTGCAGTGCAAAGGATCTGGTGATAGGTTGACGTGTTTATAGGATGCTGCAGCCTAGATAGATAATGTAGATATCCTTTGAATGTGTCTGGCTAAGATTGCCCTGTTTGATAAAGATTTTTATTAAATTACTGTTTGAGTAAGCATTAAGTCAAGGCCCCTTAATCCAAATTTAGTAAAAACATTATTGTTATCGTAAAGTAAATTTTAAAATGACATCTATTTTTAAGGAATTAAAAAAAAGTCCAACTATCACCTGTTACATGAAAGTGACAATGATAACTTGGGTTGTCTTTGCATTTTATTTCATAATTTTTTGCTTGTATCCCCTTCATCTGATTAACCAAAGCAAGGAAAAAAATGGTAAATATACAATTTAATTTATGTTTGGGAAAGTGATATAAATGCTCTCCAGCAAAGGAAAGAAAAACACACAAAACTTCTCAAGACACAGGGAATTTGTTCTCATCCTGATGCTGTAATAAAAAGGAAAAAACTTTCTTGGGAATCTTTTGATGATACCTTACTGTAACATGAGGTCTTGATGTTTTTTGCATGCTTCTCCTGTTTAAAGCTTCAATTAGATCTATCAGCAAGGGGACAGTTTGTCATACTGTGTGTGCAAAGGAAAACATCACTGATTCACTGAAATCTCAGATCCTGCTGCCTTTGGCCATGTTGCTTTGTGATTTTAGGTTTGAAGAACTTCACTGCTAGGTGGAATGCAGTAGTGTGTGATGGTTCTTGGTTTGCTTTTGTAGTTGTCTGGTTTGATTTGGTTTGGCTTGGTTTAGTTTTTTTATCTCCCTTGGGTGCTCAGGAGGGCTATTTTTACAATCCTGAAGTGTTTCTACAAAGAAAACCTTATTTAAAGGAAGTTTTAACAAAATAGGATTGACTTATGTGTACTGTGAAAATAGAAATGGTTTCCTAATGTTAGTGCAACTCATAATTGGAAGTAGGAAAAAAAAACCAGCTTGGAAAGAGGAACTTGTTTTATGAGAATATGTTACTCAGAGGCAGAGCATGGTGAGGGCATGGTTCAAATCTCTTTGGTCAGTTCCACTTGTGAGTGCATTTTGTCCTTGACATGTCACCCTGAAAGCAAATAAAAAAATTAAAAAGTAGTATTTTTATACTTACAAGCAATTATAAATATGGAGTTGCAGTATCCACCTTTTCAAGACACCTTGCTTTTCTTTACTTCCTTCTCTGTTATAAATTACATGGAATGTAATAAAGTTCAAGAAATTTACATTAATATGCTAAATAGTTGTTTTAATTGGGATTTATTCCTTCTAATTCACTTTTGTTGAGGCTGTTTCTGATGACCAAATCTAAAAACTCAGATCTTGTGTTCTTTACTTCTTTATTTATTTATTCAATTTATATATTTTCATATATATTATATATTTTAATATATTTACTAAAATATCATTAAACAGATTATGTTTATTTCTTATATTCAGTATTTAAAAGAGATCTGTCCTTGAAAATATGCCTTTTAAATACTGTCAGAGTACTTCACCTCTTTTCTATGTTTATTTATCAGCTCTAAGAAAAAGACAGCGATTAATAAAGGAATGAGTTTGTCAGTCTGGTAGAGATACATTTCCTGTGACTTCTCTGATTTTTCAAGAACATGGAAACCTACCTTCAGAAAGTAATTTTCTAAAAATCCATAGCAATTCTGACCATCTATTGGCTTTCAGGACTGAAGTTCTATCAAATAATTAGCTATATGTGAAAACAATTAGAATCAATATAGTATTCTTGGTTTTGTTTGAAAAGAAGGTTAATAGAACTTTGCAGTAGAAGAAATCTTAGGTTGTGCTGCATTGGATTTGATCTCTGATCATGGGAGCAGTCCTTATACAAAGTGATTAAATTGCTTAAAAGTAGTCTTTGAATCTTTCTACCACTGTGTGCTTTGAATCAAATAAATATAATAATATAGGGAATAAAGGGAATAGTGTTAATCAAATATTTATTACATTAGCCAGAAAACTTACTTTAGTTTTCTCACAGCTTTTCAACTTACCTGTTTAACACTTCATCTTGTATGATTGTCTCTACCTGACAGAAGATGCCTTTTTTCCCAGTTAATATTTTAAATAAGTTCTGAACAGTTTCAAGTTACTCTTTATGTTGGATTTCTTGTGCATTGAGAGCATGTGATGACTGTGCTTGTTACATGAGAATGGATGGGAGAGCAGTTCTAGTAAAAATTCCATTACTAAATGCTAATTACTAAATACAGATGATTCTTCCTAATCCATGTATGCAAAAGAGGTAGAAATACGCCTTAACTTGTCCGGTCAATTAGAGTTGGCCATACAACACCTACAGGTTGTAATGTAAATTATAGCAAAGAAAGGATTCTTTGCTATAAACTTCCCTGTTCCAACCACTAACTTCACAGTGGATGTCATGTTTAAAAATTGGGTGTTTCAGGTATTCAGGGAAGTCTCCCAGAGCTGTAGAGGCTTCAGAGCCTGCAACAGTAACTGCAAAGAGGAACTTTCTTTTCTCAAGTATTAGATCTCAGAGAAGATTTGCTAAATGGGAGCCTGACTCTTGCCCTACTTCTCAGCTCATTTAAATATCTTAAAGCATCTTCCTTCATGAAACAGTTCCTGTTCCATCACAGTGATCTGCTTGATGCAAAGGAAGAATAAACACTTAAAGCCTACATATTTTGATTCATTCAGCACATAGTTTTACATGAATTGAATTAAACTTCAAAAATGTAGAAGATAATTACATACATATTTGTGATGTGCCTAAAAAGTGCATAGATTTCCTTTTTGTGCAGTTCATCAGTCCTTGATAGTATTTTGAGACCTTTATGGTGAAGCATTTTTAAATGTTTTCCTTTCAGTAACTTTTTCTTAAATTATCCCATTTCATAGTTTGAACTAAATTGTCAATTTTTTTTTTTTTAGTCACGAGGTTTTTACATTCATAGAAACTTAGATTTCTAAAAGTCTCTTCTTTACAGGTTGAATGGTATTTTATCATTTGTGCTGAACAGAGTTTTGGCTTATGAATTATTTAATATTCATCAAAGAGGAAGTAGGTTAGGAAAGAGAGCCTCATACTGATGCATATAGACTTTTTTCCCTATAATATATATGTTAAATAAAATACTTGAACACTGCATTGCCATCTGGTGGTTTTTTCCAAGGATGCTGAATAGACAAAAAGAAATTTTTTTTTTTTTTTTTTTTTAAAAAACCCAAATGTGGTAAAAGGGAAAATGTGGAAAAAAGTATGAAAAGAGATTTCATTACATAAAACAATTATGAGCTGATCAGTGTATTCAGGCAGTATTATTGTATTTGCTTTTTGCACACCCAGATTGCCTAATAACACTCTGACTGCCTTATATCAGAGGTGAATGTTGCTATTACTGCCTCTAGTTTCCTGTTTGTCTACAGATTATTTTGTATTATGAGTTAATTAATATTCTGTGTTCAGTTCTGTTATTGTGAATAAAAATTTTCCTTTCTAGATCAAATTTATTATGCAATGGAATGATTAAACTGGAAGGAAAATCTTTCCAGTGATGGGTTTTTGGCATATGTATGAGATCCTTCACATCATTATGATGAAATTGAAGTCTAGATATGTATGTTGTCATGTAGCAGAAGATTACTTCTCTTTTTAATGGCTAGTATATTTTTGCCTTAGCTACCATTACTCAATATGTGTGGTTCTTGTTGTCATACTTGGATGAAAGATCAATATTATGAAAATAAGGTAGTAAAGTCTTTGACACTGAAATGCTATTTTTGAATTTTGTTTTCTTTTTAAATGAGAAAAATATTAATTTTAATGAGGTAAAAATATTCAAGATTTTTTTTTCTAAAAGTAGTGGAACTCTGAGGAACAGACTTGGAATATATT